CCCACCCCGCAGCCCAGCCCCTCCTCGGACTTTCTGAGTCCGGGCTCCCAGCTGTCTTCTGCCCAGGAGCAGAAACCTGGGCATCTCCCCCCTCAGATTCAAGAGTCAGGGCCCACTGGGCGCAGTGGCTCACACCTGTCACCCCAGCGCTTTGAGAGGCCCAGGCGAGAGGACTGCTTGAGCCCGGGGGTTTGAGACCAGCCCGGGCAACCTAGTGAGACCTCATCTCTGCAAAAAATCCAAACAAGTAGCTGAGCGAGGCAGCACACACCTATAGTCCCAGCCACTGAGGAGGCCAAGGTGGGAAAACCACTTGAGCCGGGGAGGCCGAGTCTGTGGTGAGCCGTGATTATGCCCCTGCACTCCAGCCTGGGCAACAGAGTGAGATCCCGACTCAAGCAAAAACAAAAATGAAGAATCAGAACCCCCTGCCCTTCCTTCCCTGGGATCCCGAAGTCTGGGCTTCCAACCTCCTCTTTCCCCAGGATCTGGATTCTGGGCCCCCAGCTACTCCCTCCTACCTCACCTAGGTGGTCCTTGTCGCCCTCAGACCCAGGCCCCAGCCTCACCTGCCGTAGGTTGTTATAGATGTCTAGCTCGCGGCCCCCATGCTGGAAGAGGCTGACTAGCCGGTGCACAGCTGGCAGATTACCCTGCACCACAGCAATATGGAGAGGCCTGTGAGGAGGGACAAGTGACAGGCATGAGGGGCCGGTCGCCTCTCACCCCGTGAGGTTGGCAGCGCCGACTCCAATGTGTGGCGGATACTTTGGAAGTATCTGGAGCCCAACCACTGCTCCCCACCCACTCCCTTCACCCTGGCCAGCTGCCACTGGCTCCCTCCTGGACGAGTACAGCCCCCTCCTCTGCCCTCCTCCCCGTCCCCCACACCGCAGCCCAAGGGGCCCTTTTAGAACCTAAGTCAGGCCATTCTCCACCACCCCAAAGTCTTGGCCATGGCCCACGAGGCCTATTTGACCTCGCTTCCTGTCCCCTCCCTCTTGCTCTGGCCACACTGGCCTCCTCGCCATGTTCCTCAAACACACCAAGCACACTCGCCTCCCAGGGCCTTTGCCCCATCTGTTCCCTCTGCCTGGAGCAGTTATCTCCAGATTCCCATAGGGCTCATTCCCTCATCCGGGCCTCTGCTGAGATAGTATGGCACCTGTGCCCTCTCCCTTCCCCTGCTATATTTTCCTCCACACCATCATCTGATACATTGTGCAGTTTACTTGTTTCCTGCCTCAGTCTCCCCCATAGAACGGCAGCTCCATCAGGCCAGGGTGTTTTGCCCGTGTTGTTTGCTGACTGGTGCCCAGGACGATGCCTAGCGCTGAGCAGATGCCCCGTGAACGGGCGCTGAGTAAATGAATCCATCTCAGTAGTCACCCTGGCCATCCTTGAAGCTGCTGCCATGTTCCCACCCCTCTCCAGGCCACCGTTTTCTCATCTGTGAAACAAGTGGAGACGAACTAGATGCTTTCAAGGTTTATGCCGCTGTTTTCTATTGATTGAATGATTGATTGACTTTTTTTTAGTTGGAGTCTCACTCTGTCTCCCAGACTGGAGTGCAGTGGCCGCTCCCAGC